GCACACACGCCCCAAGAACAAGCAAGTGCTGCTTGGAAGAACTGAGACACAGACAGAGGCGAGCCGACGGGCAACGGGGGAACAGGAAACAGGGACGGAGGGAAACCAGGTGCGGAGACCCCCGGCCAGAGGAGCCGGGTCCCTGCCCGAGGCCTACCTTGGATTTGCGGTCGGCGGTGGCGGTGGCGGCCTCTCCGGTCCCAGAGGGAGGGGCCCCCCTGCCCCGGCCCCTCCGGCCCCGGCCCCCAGCTCGAGGCCGCTCCTCAGGACTCTCCTCCCAGCCGCGGGCTGCCCGGCCCGCCCCGGCCCGCCCTCCTCTCTGGGGGAGCGTCCGGCTCCCTTTGCTGGGCCCTGAGGGCCGAGGGGTCCCCGGAGACCTCCGGGAGGGTCCCAGGCTCTTCTCCTGGAACAGCGAGAGGGAAAAAGGCCAGTCACTGGGGCAGCGGACTGGGACACCTCAGGCCCAGGCCGGGCGGCTCCTGGCCCAAGGCCACCCACAGGTCTGGGCCAGCTGGGGGGCTCCTGGGGGCCAGCCCTTCACCCTCCCCCTCCCCGTCCCCAGGAGCCCCTGCCCCAGCGTCAAGCTCACCACCTCGACCGCCATGTTCTCCTTCTCCACCAAGCGGCCCTTCCGGGGGGCCGTCACGGCCACTCCCTCGAGTTCCGCTTTCTTCCGGTCCTCCTCGATCTCCTGGCGGTAAAGGGCAACAAGGGGTGGTGGGGGGAGTGTGAGGGGTCCTGCCATGAGCTGGGTTCTCGCACCCCTTCAACTTTCCCAAGTCTGGTCCCAGCCCAGGCCTCTCTCCTGAGCACAAAACGAGGCCACGCTGGTCACCTCGGCATCTTACCCTAAACCCCGTCATGGTCTCCCTTCCTCAGAGCCCTGCTGCACCAACCAGGTCTGAGTACAAGCCAAACCAATGTCTCCCCAAAGCCCACTGGGGCCCTGTGACCTCACCTCCCACCCCCTCCCCCAGTACAATCTGATTTCCCCCATGTTCCCAGAACCCACCAGGCCGCAGGGCCTTTGCATGTGGTATTCCTGCTGCCAGGAACACTCTTTCCCTAGGTCCCCTTCCCTCCCTCACCTCCTGCAGGGGTCCCCGCACCTGACCACCCTGTGTAACCCTGCTCCGTGATGCTCTCCCCCCTCTTCCCTGTCCTTATCTTTCACAGATTATCGCCACCTGGCGCCATGTGCATTTCACTTGCTTCCTGCCCCCCCCCCACTGCCACACAAGCCTCTCAAGGACACAGTGGGTCTGCTTTGCTTTACATCCCCAAAGCCTACAACAGGGCCCAGCACATAACAGAAACACAGCATACTTTTTTTTTTTTTTAAATGAATGAATGCATGAAGAATGAACACGTGAAACCTGTTCTTCCACCCGGGTTCCCATCTCAGGAGAGTCTCACCATCCGGCCTGTCTCCTCCTGCAGAGACCTGAACCCCTGAACCTCGCCCTGGGCCTCCCTCCCCACCCCTCTCCGCCCACTGCCCATCAGGCACTGAGTCCCATCTACGTATTTGTAAGTCTCTCCCCTCAGCCCTGCCCTGAGCAGACACCTCCTCTGCCCCCAGGGTCGCTGCCCCAGCTTCCTCTTTGGTCTCTGGTCTCCAGTGTCACCTCCTCCCATTGACCACCCCCCCAGCAGCTCCACAGAGCCTCCTAAAAGGCTATTCTGACGTGGCCCTACCCCTGCTCAAGGCCTGCCATGCCTCCCCAGCGCCCTCAGGAGAAAATCCAAACTCTCAGCCTGACAGTGAGCATTCCAAGGTCCTGCCTGGTCTAGCCCCTGCAGACCTCTCCGGCCCCAATGCTCAACACCACTGACTCACTGAAGCAGACCCGTTCCCACTGAGCAGATTCAGACACAGCGACCCCAACCGCTCGGTAGGGTTTCCTTGGCTGTTATCTTCAAGGAAGCACATTACCAGGCCTCTCTCCCATAGCATCTCTGGGTAGATTCGAACTGCCAACCTTTAGGTTTGTAGTCAAGCACACACCACTTGTGCCACCCAGGAAGCAACTCACTAACCCCTCTAAATTCTTTCTCCTGTTTCCAAACTTTTGCACAAGCCGTTCCTTCTCCTTTCCTAACGGACAACATCTATTTACTCTAAAGGCCTCAGATGTCTCCTCCAGAAAGCCCTCCTACTGCTCCACAGGCTGGGTCAGGACTGCCTGAGGATGGGTCCGTGTCTCCCACTAGACTATGAGCCCCAGAAGGGTGGACCTGAGCTGCCTGGGCCATGCCAGCACCATTCAGCATGTGGCCTGGCACAGTAAAGCCCTTGGTGGGTATGTGTGAACGAGTGAATGATGGAATGAAGGAAGAAATGCCAGGCTAGGGCATGTGCTCCCTGAGAGCAATGGGGAGCCATGGAGAGGTTAAGGGAGGGAGTGGTATGGTCAAAATGGAAGTCTAGGAAAACTCACAGCGGGGAGAGGGGGTGGGATCTCCCAGGGCGGGGCTAGGGCACCTGGTAGCGCCGGATGAGGGCCTCATTCTTCCGCCGAAGGGCCTCGATCCTCTTGTCCAACTCGGCATCCTTCTCTTCCTTGGATTTCAGATCCAGGGTGGCTGCCTGGGAGGGAGGCAGTGGAGGGTTGGTGGAACACCTCTAGTCACCGGGTGCGAGTTAGGTACCTGGCCCCCCTCCACCCAGAGAGCCACGTTCCGTCTCACCATTTTGCTGTCTAGCTAGGGCCACAGACCCAGCACTCCTCCCCTGCAGAATCTGGACACAGTGCTGGAAGTTCCTGAAGGCAAGGAAAGAAGAACGTCAACACCCTGCCGCTTGAGCTGCTCCAAGATCACCAGCCCTCCATCCTGAGCCCTCCTCTTGAAGGCTAGTCCCACCCCCTTCTAGTCCCACCCCCTTCCCTGGAAGGATTTAGGATATGCCGCTGTTAGGCTGAGGGAGCTCTGGTGGC